AATCTTGAGTTTTAGCCTTGTTTTCTATTACCTTCTCTGTCCTCTTCTTTCTTTGCTTTTTTTTTAAAAAAAATTTCTTCCTTCAACTTTATCAATTCCCGTCCCTCTTTCTGTATCCTAAATGCAGGTGCTGCTGAGAGATTCCTCTCTGGTTCTCTTCTCACTGTCTTTTGTGCTAATGTCACCCATGTCCTTCCTCCCTAACCTCCCTTCTCAGCTTTGGATCTACATGTTCTGCAGTCTATTAGCCCAGGCCACCCCATATCCAGCCTCATGTCCTAAATATACCACTTCATTTTTTATTCAAACTCTCATGCATTTATTTCACATTTATTAGCTATCTCCTGTACACAGGACAGCTTGCTAGACACTAGAGATCCAATAAAAATAAAAGAGGACTTCTTTCCTCATGTAGCTCTCAGCCACCTTTCTCCCTATCATTTTTCTAATTATCACATTCAAAGTTTAGAGTCACCTTTGAGTCCTTCTGCTTTTTTTTCCCCTCCTATCAATCAATCTGTTGCATTTGAGCTCAGAAATATCTTTCATTTTCATGACCTCTTTTTCATGCCCTCAATCAACACCCTCTCTAGGCTTTTCTTTTCTTTCCTGGATTATTCTACAACAGCTTCCATAGTGACGCTTTCTTCAACATGCTCTCACACACAATTCTAATTTATCTCACACATATCTATAAAATAAATCATCTGGAAAATGCAGTTTGGACATAGCAGTCTCCTGCTCAAAATACAGTCAATAGATTCCCATTGAATAGTAATAAAACACCCCCAAAACAAAAAACAAAACCCTGAACTAAGCATTGAGTCCTCTTCTAACGTATTAAGTTGAATTGAATGAAATTTTTCTTTTGTAATTCAAAAAATGGTGAATATTAGTCTTCTCATGTGGTACAACCTAATAGTATTCACGTACACTTCCACCCTTTCCTTCTAAGAGTCCCCTTCTTCTGCCCTATACTCTAGAACATAAGAGATCAGTCTGTGCTTTCTGAGCATGCTCACTTCCTTTGATCTTTTTGCTAATGCTGTTTGTTTTTCCTGGACTTTGTTTTCACTTCTATTCATCACTAAGTTCCACCTCAAAAGATTCATCTTCCATAAATTATTTCCTGTTGAAAACTATGGTCACTAGAGATGGGAAAGGGAGAGAGGGGGTAGAAGGAAATTGTGTAATAGACACAAAGAATAGTTATGTTTTGTAATGATGAATATGCTAATAATCCTAATTTTATCATCACATATTGTACACAAATACTGATAGTAAACTCTGTAACCCACAAATACGTATAATCAATTATGTTTCAATAAAAAAATTCCCTGTTGAGTCCCTTCTCAATTACTAGCAATCCTGCCCTGCAATGAAGTCCCTTAGGAAATTAATCATGTCTCTCTTATGGCACCAGTGAGCCTTGGTGCTACTTCCTTGTCTTATTCTGCTACACCCAACTAAGCTCCGGAAATGTTCTGCTGAATATACTCAGTAGAGGGTCTGAATACCTATTTGTGTAATCGTTAGTACCTTCAGTGATTTTTGAGTTAGTAGTCCTTAAAGCTAAATGTGGTATTTTCACACTGTCCATGATCCTGTTCTCTGCTCGTTTATTTATTTTGATCATTTAAACCTTCTTCTGCTATTATTTTAATTTTTAAAAAAAGCTCTTGCAAGATACAACATAAGTTATTCTATATTTAACACTTGAATTCTCTGGCTACTTTTCTTATATAAATTACACAATTCAACAATACTACTTCAGTATAATGAAATAGAAGATGCTTTATGAATTCATTTATTTTAAAACTTCCTAATCTATCTGTGACATTCCTCCTTGAAGAAAAAATTTCTTCAGGTTAAACATAACATAAAAATATAAAATAAAATATAATATATATAAATATAAAATACACCAAAGCTCGAATATTATAGTTAAGTACTTCAAGACTTATTCATTTCGACCATATATATGCACACACATATGTACATATACTCGAATATATATATATATATATATATAAAATCAAGAATATGCACATATACTATTTTAACCTTATTGCAGTGACATATATATCATGTACATAAAACATTAAGACAATCGCTATATGCCAACAAATCTGCTCAAAAAATGTAATAGTTAATGATTAATATGAAGGACTCGTGGGCCAGACTTGGGCTGATTGCCCAACTGGAGTCTCAGTTCATTTATCTGGAAAAAGGAGACCATACCTACCTCCCGGGATTATAGGGAGAATTAAATAAGATAACATATATTAAGGACTTAGGATATTATCTAGCATATAGTTTATACAAAAAATTATATTTTATTAAATAGAAATAGATGACAACAAAAGTAGCATTCTCTACAGCTATTATGATTCTAGAAGTTTCTTTACAGATTTCTTATATATATGCAATACCTATCTATCTACCTATCTGTCTGTACTTCTTAAATGCTTTTTGTTCATTATGGACTCGTAAGTATGACATCATTTCTCCTATTACGTTTATAGACAGAGAGGAAAAGAAAAGGCCTCCTCCCCTCTGCTGCAGCAAAATCTTGGCCAAAGACACGAAGAGCAATAAACAATGTCAAACCTAGGAATAGTATTTAGGAAGCATCCATAAGCACAGCTCATGCTGCAGTTGGGCATTTTTCCCATAGCTGATGGAAGTGAAAGGGGACATTTCAAAAATTCGTTTCATCTCAACCTAAAACCAGAAAAATCCTTTTCCATACAGGCTGAAAAAATGACTGCACATGGTTTATCTGCTTTTCTACCCAGCACTAATTATGTAATTAATTATTATTAATGAGAACTATAATGAATATTTTGAATAACTAAAGAAAAATGTATCAAATGTTTGTTTCACAGTGTGTAATCTAATGAAAAGCAAGAACAAAAAAGTAATGGGGAAAAATGCTGATGAAATAATTTATCCATTAAATAATAAATATTTACTGAACTCTACTGGGGCCTAGGCACTATTCTACATGCTAAAGATATGAGTGAAAAAGATCGGCAAAATAACTAATGTCAAGACAATATTGATTAGAAAAACCATGATATAAGTCCCTGACTCAGAGTCTAATAGTCAAATTCTGTTCCGATTTGATTAACTAACAAACTATTTTAATAAACTATTTTTTATTACATATACTCTGTCAGCATACCCCTAGATGAATTTTAAAATGGCCCTAGAAAATTTAGATACCAAGAGCCTCTTGGAGAGGTTATATGCTATTTCTCCAATATCCAGACAAATTGCAACAGAGCTTATTATTTCCTACTGACAATATATAGAAGACATTTTTCAGCAGTCAAATAATGATTTCATCCTTTTCCAATTCATACAAATATCTCAAAGTTCGAATTTATATACTGAGTTGAGCTGAATGAGTTTGAAGATAGGAAACTGATTCTTACGTGAAATATATGCTGTATGGATTTAACTAGACGGGAAAATACCAAATAGATTTTTTTTCACCAAACATGAAATATTTTCACTTGCTCTGAGTGAAACCTAAAGAGAGAGGATGATCTCAAGGGTTTTACAATATCCAGGAGGAATATTAAGTCCTGTTTGGGATTTCATACATGATTCCATTGAGCATTTTCTGAGGAAAAAATGCAATATAATTTCATGGGTCTCTGAGACTAGCCTACTAGATTTTGTTCAATATCTGAAATAATGAAATTTCCTTTTTTAGAACACACCGATTTATTTTAACGAAGTCATTCTCTTATTCAAAAATCTTATGTGACGCTTCCTACACTCTGGAAGACGGAGGGCAGTGTCATCTGTCCCTTTTCTCCCACAATAACTACCCACAGCAGCAAGGCTCTTAAGAAGTGCTTGTGGAATGAATAAATTAAGGTTCTCATGATTACACATTGCAGCGAAAATTAACCAAGGACAATGCAATAGTCTCCTTCAACTGCTACAAATATTCATACCCACAGGTATACACTCACATACTCATGGTATTTCAGGGTGAGTAGCTGAACATTCATCATTTTTTAAGTATATTTTTTTAAAAAACTAAACTTACTGCATAAAGTATTTGGACTGATAGTGTTGAGGGGAAATGCTATATGGATGGCAAGGAAAGATTTAAAAGGTATTATTGATCTTCTCCTCAGCATGGAAGAAAATGTCTTCCAGTTTTTTAAAGGCAAATTACAAATATAAGTTTTGTTGACATGAATACATGTTAAAGTCAAAGATAATTCTGAAGAATTAAAGTAAAGGTAATATCCATAATCGCCCTCTCGTATCAATATACACACTGATACTAAATTTGAAAATTAGTATTTTTCATGTAAGGCCCAGGATCAATGAATTCAACTGCTTTCATGGCAAAATGAAAGATTATCTTCATATGCTGTCAATTCCAAATAAAGCATATGTAAAATCAGTTCTTTTAATAACTAACAACCTTTGCCTTTAAATATATCCAATGCTTAAGATTAAAACATCAGTGAAGAAGTTACAATATTTTATTCTCAAAACCTAACAATACTGAGTCATCCCTGGGCTTTCATCTCTAGCGTTCATTCTACCTGGAAAAAGCAAGCCATTTCCTTTAACCATTTTAAAAAAATCACTTATCAGTAGGATTCCTTCAGATAAAATCATTACTTAATATATTTCTCTTAAATTGAAATGAATGAATTTTCATTAAGATAAAGAACTTGACGTTTTAAAAATCATTTTTACAAGGATGAACTCCCCCAAAAAGAAAAGCCAGACATATTGATATTTGTTAATAACTTGTAACATAGGCAAAAATTATTTAGACATATTTTAGCCAAAAAAGCCTTGGGTAATGGTATTATCTCCATAGGAATTGTACATGCTATAGACAATGAGCAACGTAAGCTTAAGGATAAAAGACCAACCATAAAGAGATTAATTTAAATAAAAACATCCCAATTCCTCCCTGATTCGCCCTCATTTAAACATCCAAAGAAAACATGTGGTACCTTTTAATTTTCTGAATGAGTGGTTCTCAATCAACGCTTCCTCGGTTAGAGACAACAAGCTGAAGAATCTACTGAAACAAAACAAAAGAAAAAGAATACATATAGAGATTTGGTAACTAAATATCAAAAATCGCAACTCACCAGTAAGCAAATGCATTCTTTAAGTCCAGATAATAAATCTATGCCTTGAGATCTGTAGTACAAAAAAAATGCAGTACTTGAAATTTTAGAAAACTCAATAATGAATTTTAAAGCATTTTTACTCCGAGATCACATAAAGCAGATCCTTTGAAAATCGGATTAAAAATAAAATAAAATAAACCCCAAACCATTACCAGCTCATATGCAGCAATACCACCCAAGTCTAGCCTTTGAGAACTGCTGCAGAACCCTGCTCCAGGAGCATGGTCCCTGGGACTGGCTCTCCGGCTCTCTCACTCCAGACAGACGCAGTCTGCAAGCCACCAGCTCGTGTCTGTGTGTGTCGGGGAAAGGGAAGCTGCAAATTAGAAAAAGTCCCCGCAGTGGCGAAAAGGAAAATAAGGCGAGTGGGAGAGGGAGAGAGAGCTCACTAGCCTCAGAATTTTCGAGAATGATGACAAGCCACTCAGCTCCGCCATCATTCACTGACAATAGGATGCAGCCCTGCCTTACGATTTAGTGGTTTGCCATAGGGGCTTCTGGTACCAAATGCCTGATAGGCATTTTAATTGCTTCCATCCAAGTGTGTCCCCAGGAGTTGAGTCTATAAGCCTATGAATGTCATCATCCGGTCTCCTTTGTGTTAATGCCAGTCACACACACACACATCACACACACACTGTGCTTAGAGAGACAGTCTTCAGGCATATAGGATTACAAACAAGTTAAGCTACGCAAACTGGACATGACTAAACGATAGTTTGTGAGAATTTTATTATCTGCATTAAGGACACCAGAGATTCTTTGATGCTTTGTCATTGGAAGGAATTATAATATTTTTTAAACTATCGCATATTGCTTATTTATATTCCAAAATAAATAACTGTGTTCATTAGAGAAATGCATATGTGTACGTATATTTTCCCATAAAAATTTCAGTCCCCTTGTAACTATGATAATTACGCAGTTGGCAATAATTTTCTTACAAGGGTGAAAGCAAAAAGAAAAAAGATTAGGAAGCCAGGGTTGAAAAGTGATTTCTGTGGGCAATCTATTTTATTCTGTTTACATACAAAGCAAAAGGAGGTGGCTACCAGCTTGAGCACTGGGACATTACAGTCCCTGAGGGCCAAGGCAGGGAATTGAATCTCTGGCATAATCAGTATCCCCTTCATGTTAGCAGCTGAAATTAACAGTTTGCATATCCCTGTTTTACAGTGCCCCTTATGTGGGGAGGTTAAGTGTAGAATAATTCCCTGAACTTATTTCCTCAAGAAAAGGGAAGGAGAAAAATGTTAATAAATAAATTAATTTTCACGGCATTGTTAGCGCCCTGCACCAGTGAATGCAGTGTGTACCAAATGCAGTGTATGCCAAAAGGGCCAGCTGTACGGAAGGTTGCTGGGAGGGAGCGTCACCATGGTTACCGGAAACAGAAAGTAAGGAGAAAAAATAAGGTGATGACAAAGAGGAGGGAACAAGCCTACCGTGGAGGAAATTTAGAGACAGAATGAAATGCTTCATTCTTTTCCTTCTTGAAATAATCATCTCTATCAGTTTTATACTTTTTCTTCAATTCATTGAGATGAATTTGCATTCTCCTTCAGCCACCTTTCTTCCTCATTTTTGGTTCACTAGCTAATTTTGCTTTCATAAATACTCAAATTATGGTTCTTTTGTATGTGCCATTCCTTGTCTGTGTCCATATACCGGATTCAGGGAGACCACTCAGCCTAGTCCACACCCTTCGTTTCATAGGTGAGAAAGCTGAGGCCTGACCAAGGTGAGAAAGAGTCTGACCAAGGTCACAAAACAGAGGCACCAGCGGGTTTCCTGACTCAGTCCCCAGCTTTTCTTCTCTCACCAAGTGACTTTCTTTTCCTCCTCCTTCTCATTCTGTCTGCAAGAAAAACATACTCCAGAAATGTCCTTTGTCTTTGGTTTTATAAACCTCTTATTTGCTAAAGCAGTGATCTTCCTCTTTAAAGCTCATTGAAATCGTTCTGAGGACAAGCTTTGCTTAATATCTGTGCTGGACTGTATTTGAGGTCTGAAGAATCTGTAGTAACTATGTCACTGTTTTTTTCATTGTTTGTTTGTTTCTCTTTTCTTTTTCATTCCCAGTCTGGCAATCAGATGAATCAAGCATGACTGTCCTTTTGTGAACCTATCTTGTTGAGCCTGAACTTAATCGTCATATACTAGGCACTCTATCACCGCTGCTCTCATTCTTTCTGGACAATCACATGGAGTCGGCCTCCCAAGGTTCCTCCTAGGTATAGACAATGTGAACCTTCCTGAGATTACCCAAACAATGAAGCTAGAAAAGTAAAAGCCCAGGTAAAGTTAAAAAAAAAAAAAAATTCACTCATAAACAACCACTGGAGGGTGCCATATTTGTTAGAATCCTTCTGAACTACTGAGGTCAGTAAACATTGTGGCCAGGATTTTGACCTGAATGTTTCACACTACTGAAGTCAGTAAACATTGTGGCTAGGATTTTGACCTGAATGTTTCATTGTTTTTCTTTTCTTTAAAAGGTGTTCTTTCAATATTCAGTTCTTATAACCCATTGCTTTTAGGTTAACTCATCTATAGATAGGGCCAGACTGTTTTTGATGTCTAAAATATAGTTGCTGCCACCACCACCAGCCTCTTTTCCCAGAATGTCAGCTATAGAATGAATAAACCACATTTAAAAAAATATAATTACCACAGGTAATAATCACAAGAGATTTCAGGTCTTAGTTGACCTCTATACACTTGTTAGGGTTCTTCTCCCCCAGAAAATACCCTTTTAAATATGACCTTCCTGTTAAATGTCTATTTTTCTTCCATGATTTTGGACAATAAGGTGATTTTTTTAAAGTGAATGTTTTATTTTAATATATTGTCATCTGTTCACTTTTGAACAGAAAAAAAAAACATGCATGACTGTCATTTTTTGAAACATGAATCATATTTTATCAAGATCTGATAAAGCACACATAATGGTCTTGGCTTCAACATTAATACTCTTTGAGAGTCATTTAATATTTAAAGACACATGGTTCAGTACATGAGAATGAGTTAGTATATTTCTTTTCTTTTCTTTTTTTCCCATTTGTTTCTATATGGAATAAGCATTATATATGTGAAACATAATTACTGTTCTTAGGTATGTCATATTCTAAGAATACCAGATGATAGATAATTGAGAGAATTTCATGAATTTTTAGATCACCATGTTTATGCCGATGAGCCTAAACTGTGGTGCTTTCCTTACCCTTTCTCTCTTTGACAGTATTTTAGACCTCTAGTTGGTTCATAAGTTCCCAGAACCAGCTGTGATGGCAAATCCATATACAGTCGTTCAGACACTTGACAGGTTCTAGGAATGGGAAAAAGAGCGTTTCTTCCTCAGCACAGAAGTAAAGAGAAACCTAACTTTTACACTTCTTTTTCTCACTTTGATGAGATACTATCACTCCGTCCTTTTGTTACATCTGCTTCATCACAGATGTTGATCTTTAAGAATCTCATTTAACTACATTCCTAAATTCAGTTAGCTCACCCCTGCGGCTCCTCTGAAAGATGCTTGCTTTCATTCCCTAAGTATAGGGTCTGCGTATTTGTGTGTCACTCTTCAAACTCTCTAGGACTGAATGTGGAGGTGTATCTTCTTTACCTCCTTGAAGCCTTTGCTCATATTTTATCTTCCCAACCAGGGCTTTCCTGACTACCCTAATGAAAATTACAAACATGTCCCTCCCATAACCCTTTATCCTCCCATCCTTTTTTCCATATTACTTATACCATAGAATTTTCTTTTTTTATTATGTTTACTATTTAATACCTACCTCACCCTGCTAATTCTATGAGGACAGGGATCTTTACATGTTTGCCTGGAACCTACTGGCACTCAAAAATATTTTTAAATGAGTGAAAATGAAAATCACATTAGTGGATGAATTGTGGTGCTTAAACACAAGAAAAGTCTTTTATTCCATATTTCTTTTCCTCTTTGGTATATTCAGTCTTCCTTAGGTATATTGCCTTTTATTTGTACTAAACCACTCATCCCCATGCAATCAATATATTTTGTAATTTCCATTATAGGATATATATTTATTTAAAATAGAGACTTGTCTTCTACTTTCTTTGAATTCTGTAAAGTAACATGTATGGGGCTATCAGCTCTTAAATGCTCAGAAAGAACCTGTTTAGAAAATCGTGCCCTCTGTTGGTGTCTGAATATGCTAAACTTTAATTTTTTGATTTTAAAAAAAATTAGTATAGTTAATTAATTAATATTGCTTCACAGCCAACATATTTTGGAATGCTTTTTTAAAAAAACTGAGTATAATTTTCACTTTTAAAAATTAATAATATAAATAATAATTACACTTTCACCTAGTGCTCTTGAGTTTGAGTTATTCTAAACATAACAGGAGATGTGCATGTATTTTGCAAATTATGATATCCAAATTCACTGAACACTGTTTTGCTATATTTGCTACAGATGACATCTTTTCTTCTAACAAAGTTGGTTTGCACAAAAGTATACTGTTGTCTAGCAGATAAAAAAGAAAGAAAAGTGTCATAATTAGCACATTAGTCTGAATTTATATGAAATGCTAAAATTCTTTTACTTTTTTTCTACCAAGCAGTGATTTCATGTGCTTCAATCTAACACCTAAGGAAGCTATGAAAGGATGCAGAATTGAATAAAGTGAGTTGTACAACATGACTCCCATGTTTATTACATCATTATTCATATTAGCTGAGATACGGAAACAACCTAAGTGTCTATGGCCAGACAAACAGATAAAGAAACTGAAGTATACACACATACACACACGCACACACACACACACACGCACACAATGTAATATTATTCAGCACTAAAAAAGAACAGAATTTTCCCATTTGCCACAATGTGAATGAGCTTGAAGGACGTTATGCTACGTGAAATAAGCCAGACACAGAAAGAAAAATATTGCATGATTTCACCTA